TTTATGCAAATGAAGCCCGGGAAATTCAAATCCCGGGCTTCATTTGCAACTCCGGTTGCCTACATTACCACCCTAGTTTGAACTAGGGTGGTAGTGTAGACATACCCTAAGAGTCCATGACCTGAGTTGCTCTCGCTCTAGGAGGGAAAAAAAAGAGACAGTGCTCAGGATGCTTTGGGAGACCCAAGAGGGGGTAACTTTTTAATTGTAAAGATTATGTTTATTATCTATGATAGGGTCAGAGCAGAAGGCTACAAAAAAGTAGTGGAGGGGAGATATATAAGATCTCTGTTCACAGAGTAACAGGGAGGGGCTGGTTTAGAACCAGCAGAGGCAATGGGTGGGGGGGCTGCAGTGGAACACCTGGGGCTATTTGACCAGGCCTGCAGAGTCAGGCCAGCCTAGGCTACTTGGGACACCTGCAGGTAATTAAAAAAAAAAAAAAACAGTTCAGATTGGCTATTAAGCAGCTTTGCCTGCAGTTAGTGCAGGTGTGTAGCTGGAAGGATGGAGGAAAGTTCTGCTGAGAGGAGGAGGAGAGGAAACAACAACTGAACACTAGGGCTGTGTCCAGACTCAGGGGTTTTTTCGGGAAAAGTAGCCTTTTCCCGAAAAAACTTCCCCTGCGTCCAGACTCAAGCCGCGTTCTTTCGAAATTATTTCGAAAGAACGAAGAGGCTCTTTCAAAAGATGCTTTCGAAAGAGGCTCTTTCAAAAGATGCTTTCGAAAGAGGCTCTTTCAAAAGATGCTTTCGAAAGAGGCTCTTTCAAAAGATGCTTTCGAAAGAGGCTCTTTCAAAAGATGCTTTCGAAAGAGGCTCTTTCAAAAGATGCTTTCGAAAGAGGCTCTTTCAAAAGATGCTTTCGAAAGAGGCTCTTTCAAAAGATGCTTTCGAAAGAGGCTCTTTCAAAAGATGCTTTCGAAAGAGGCTCTTTCAAAAGATGCTTTCGAAAGAGGCTCTTTCAAAAGATGCTTTCGAAAGAGGCTCTTTCAAAAGATGCTTTCGAAAGAGGCTCTTTCAAAAGAAGCCTGCAGTCTAGACATAGCATCCGAGAATGAACCAGAGAGAAGGAAAGTGTGGAAAAGTAGCCTAAGGGTCTTGGAGCTGTCTTACAGCAGTTATTGGGGACTCATACAGGCAGCTACTATTACAGGGCCCTGGGCTGGAACCCAGAGAAGGGGGTGGGCCCAGATTCCCCACAACATCCACCTCCTTACTTCCACTTGGGGAAGAGAACTGTGGAGTTTATTCTCCGTTTTACCATACGTTGGCGATGATGAAAAGAGCTCAGCAAACAGCAAACTAAAGCCCTAGGCTTAGTGCTTAAAATTGTGGGCTGCTGTAAGCCTCTGGCTATGTCTAGACTGTAAGCTTCCTTTGAAAGACGTTTTTTTGGGAAGAGATCTTCTGAAAGAACTTCTTTTGAAAGAGCTCATCCACACACACAAGCGCATCGAAAAAGCAATCTGCTTTTTTGAAAGAGAGCGTCCAGGCTGATTGGACGCTTTCTTGCACAAAAGGCCACCTGGAACCATTTCAGACAGAGCTTTAGGTCACCAGTTGCTTCCAAGTGCTGGTGCTGGAGCCTTGCAGAGACACGTGCTTAAAGGGACCCCCTCGCCCCCCGGAGAGCCGTTTCTCTGCTTCTGCCACATGCTTGCCTACTTCTCCTAGGGACAGCAAAGCTCTCGCAGTGCCTGCTGTGGTTGCCCTGCTTTTTTGGATGCCACATGCCACACGCCCATGCTGCAGTTTTTGCAGCACTTTGTGCCAGCTGCCTTCTTGGTTCTGCACAAGCTCGACCCTGAGCTTATTCTTGGGACCCTCTCCCTGGGTGCGGGAGCTACACTCCGGCAACCGCTCCCCATGGTGGAGGCATTTCTGGAGGCTGGACACCAGTTTGGACTGATGGGACCGGCTGGTCCTGGAGCAGTGGGAAGACCAGCAGTGGCTCCAAAAACTGTTTTGGAGCTTTGTGCCTGGCTCGCCCCCGCCCTCCAGAGACACGACACCCACCTGTGGCCTGCCATCCCCTGGAGAAATGGGTTGCAATCGCCATTTGGAAGCATGCCACCCTAGACAGCTAGCAGTTGGTGGGCAATCAGTTTGGCCACACATTTTGGAGAGGAAGGGGCAGGCCTTTCTCCTGGAGTGGAGGGGAGATGCTGGCCACGAGGGGTGAGCCATTGAGCAGCCGCGGACAGCTGCCATCCGCCAGGCCCATCAGGCTGGGGTGCGAATCTGGGAAGCCCTGAGGGAGAGGTTCTTTCAAAGACCCCAGTAAGTCTCCCCAGGGCATTGCAGCCCTCCCCCCCGACCTCTCTTTGTCCTTTCCTTGACCTCACAATAAAGACACCTGTTTGGTTTCCAACAAAATGAAGTCTGTATTTATCTTTCATTAAAAAAGGTGGGTAGGGGAGAAGGGGGGCTCATAAGCTGGAGGGGGAGGCAGGCTCAGAGTGGCATGGGGGGTTAGCTAGATGTCCCACCTCGGGTGAAGGGACCTTATCAGAGTTGGGGTTGTGTGGGTCCGGGGATCACAGGGTTAGGGCATAGGCATCACATGGGGAGGGGACATGGGCATTGCTTGGGGAAGGAGCAGAGGCATTGTATGGGGGGCAGAAGGAGGAAGAATGGGCATAGCAGGTGGGGTGACAGCAGGCGGGGCTTCCATCATTTCTCTCATGACGGCACACGTGCTATCACACTGCTGCATGAGATGGTCCCAGGCACGGTTCTGCCACTCGGACCCTGGCATGCTTTTGGGTCCCCCCGGACTGTGATAGCTGGCACAGGTGGCGTGGATCACCCCTCAGTCCCGACTGGTCTGGCTGTGGAGAACACTTAAGAGGGAGAGTCATCCCTGCAGACACTGTCCCTGAGGCCGTGCCTCCTCTGTGAGCAGCCACCAACAGTCCTGTCCATGTGTGGCCTGGACAGCAGGCTCTGCCTCACAAGGGCCCCATGCAGGCAAGGGAGGTGTCCAGCGACAGTGGGATCCCATGGGCATCAGAGGAGCTGGGAGCAGCCTGGCCCTCCCTGGGGTCTGCACACACACACCTGCGCCTCACAGCACTGCCCGCATGAGTGGGTGGTGCCTTGCATGTGCAGGCATGCCTGTGTGCTGTGTGCGGCACTCCTTGGGGTGTCTGAGGTCGTGCCTGTGCCCTTGTGGCTAGCTTGCTTCCAGCCGTGGCTGGTGCTGGGAGTCCCAACCTCCCCCCCTCTGGGGGAAGGGGCAGACGTGTGTGTGGCCTCCCCTGAGCCTGGCATCAGGATCCCACCCATGCTCGGGCTGCCTGCTGTGTCTGCGTGCCGCAGGGCTCGCTGAACCATGGTGAGCCCCACTCGCCAGCTGCGCTGTCCTGCGATCTGCACATGCACAGATCGCCTAAACCCGGCTCTTCTGGGTTGCAATCTACTCGCCCTGGGCAAGTAGATTGCATTATTTGTTGAGCCCTGGCGTGCCGCACCCTGGGTGCTGGAACCCCTGGGGCTTCTTCCTGTGATCACCCGGGGGGAGGAGGCGCGGGGTTTTGTGGCTCCACCCTGGGTGGCAAGGCCTGTAGTAGCTCTCAGGCCAGCTTCCTGCCACAAGCCTTGTCCAGGGTGCTTGCAGCTTTAAGAGCTGGCAGGAGACAGGAAGTATAGAGTTGTGATAAGTATGGCTGGTGTCTACCAGGGCACCTGTGTTATTTCCTGGAGGCCTCTTTTTTCGAAAGAAAACTCTCTTCCCTATCCACACACGCCTTTTTGCGAAAGATGATGGTGTAGGGAGGAAGGGATTAGATTTTTAGGAAACAGGGAAGTTTTTGGAAAAGGGGGAGCCTCTGACTGGGCGGGGCTGATTAATCACCTGTGAAGATGAGGGAACACGTATGTTGGTTGATTGCTGTAATTCACAAAATCATGCGTGTTTTAAAAAAAAAAGCCAAAAATAATTGTAAACTTAAAAATTGGATGGTTACAGACTATGAATCCCGGTGGTTGAACATGGGGATATTTGAAACTAAAAGAGCTCTAAACTATGCAGGGACCTGTTTCCATCATTTCACGCTGATGCTACAGACATTCCAGACTTCAGAGTGATGCCTAGACAGTGACCATTATGGAATCTGACTTGATAGCTAGATGGAGGTGGCAACCTTGGCCCATACAAAGTAGATGGAAATGTGTTGAAGGAGGGCTCTTGTTAAAAACATGCATGTCTTGTCTTTCAGTAAAACCTGGCGTTCGATATAGAGAGCTGGGAAATATTATTCAGAAACACGCCCAAGCAAATGGCTTTTCAGTTGTTCGGAGCTACTGTGGGCATGGGATCCACAAGCTTTTCCATACTGCTCCTAATGTGCCACATTATGCCAGTGAGTATTCAGTTATCTGCCAGTACATGGCTAGTGATGAATAAACACAATTAACGTTTGTTCCTTTCCTACTAACGTCATGTATGTGGCTTGACAGCCTGTCCCTTTGGATTTTTGTATTTACAGAATAATTTCTTGAATGTTGGATTTAAAATATGTTATGAACAAACTGGGCCAACGTGCATCTGCTTTGGAGGTGGGGAATGGACCCTTGCTGCTGTGAATGAATGACAACTTGCCATGTGACAATTCCCGATTTTGTTGATTCAAGACATTTAGAGGAGGAGTTTGAAGAGGACTAGATACACTTAACATTCTTTAAAATTGTTTAGACTAAACTAAAACCAAAATTACTTGATTTAAAAAAACAAAACCCTACTGAGAGAGGAATAAGTTCGAGGAGTAAAAAGAGAATGGAGGCAGAAGCCCAGCAGCAGCGTGGGGGCTCTCCAGTTTATTGCACCCAATGTACCAGGCAGGATTACCTGCCCTATGGACAGGTGGCATATATGTGCATTCGGTGGAAGACAGGTGTCAGTAATTGGGGCTTTGATCATTAGAAGCATAAAGAGCTGAAATTTGGGATGACCGGGAAAACTGAGACTTACCTGTCTGGTGTGAAGGTTGTGGACCTCTTGAGACATCTAGATAGACTTACGTGTAGTGCTGGGGAGGAGTTGGTGGTCCTGGTATATGTAGGTACCAATGACATAGGGAAGAGCTCCTGGAGGCCAAATTTACTTGCTAGGTAAGAGAGTGAAATCTGGGACCTCCATGGTAGTGTTCTGTGAAATGCTTCCAGTTCCACATCAAGTGCTAGGTAGACAGGCAGAACTGCAAGGTGTCAGTGTGTGGATGAGATGATGGTGTAGGGAGGAAGGGTTTAGATTTTAGGAAACAGGGAACCTTTTGGAAAAGGGGGAGTCTATACACGAAGGATGGGCTCCACCTAAACTAAAATGGAACCAGATTGCTGGCACTTAAAAGTTAAAAAAGGTCATAGAGCAGTTTTTAAAGTAAGGGCTGGGAGAAAGCTGACAGATGCAGAGGAGTACATGTTTGTACAGAGACAAGTTTGTAAAATGCTTATATTATAACTGCTAGAACAATAAATATTAAGATAGGTCAACTAGAGTGTCTCATATTGAATGAGGATATTTTGTATAATCAGGGCTCGACAAATTAGTCAATCTACTCGCCCGGGGCGAGTAGATTATAAGCCAGCACGGCTCTGCAGTGCGATCTGCGCATGCGCAGCGTGCCAAATCGTGCGGCTGGCGAGCAGGGCTCACCATCACTTGTCAAGCCCTGGGTATAATAATAGGCATAATTGAAACTGGCTGAAATTAAGATACTCAGTTGGACACAGTAATACAGGATACAAAATATATCAGAAGGACAAAACAGATCATGCTGGTGGGGGAGTGGCACTATATGTGAAAGAAAAAGCAGAGTCAAATTAAGTAAAAATCTTAAATGAACCACATTGTTCCATAGAATTTCTGTGGATAGTAATTCCATGCTGTAATAATATGAATATAACAGCAGGGATATATTATTGACCACTTGACCAGGGTGGTGAAAGTGATTGTGAAGTGTTAAGGGAGATTAAAGAGTCTATAAAAATAAAAAAAACTTAATAAAATAATAATAATAATTAATAATAGGTAATCCCCATATTGACTGGGTATATGTCACCTCAGGACAAAATGCAGAGATCAAGTTTCTTGATACCTTCAATGACTGCTTTTTGGAACAGCTAGTCTTGAATTCCACAATGGAAGTCTTGATTTAGTCCTAAGTGGAGCATAGGATCTGGTCCAAGAGGTAGGTAAGAGCTGGCCTGCTTGAAAATAGTGACCATAATATAATTACGTTTAACATCCTTGTGCTGGGAAAAACACCACAGCAGCTCAACACTGTAGCATTTAATTCCAGAAAGGGGAACTATGGAGGTTAAACATATTAAAAGGTACAGGGCCAAAAGTGAAATCCCTGCAAACTGCATGGAAACTTTTCAGACACCATAATACAGGTTCAATTTAAATGTCTACCTGAAATTTAAGAAAACCACAGTAAGAGAACTAAATAAGTGCCACCATGGCTTGGCTTAAGTAAAAGAAGCAGTGAGAGATAAAAAGGCATCATATAAAAAGTGGAAGTTACATCCTAGTGAGAAAAATAGAAAGGAGCATAAATTGTCATATGAAGTATAAAAATATAATTAGGAGGGCCAAAAAGGAATTTGAAGAACAGCTAGCCAAAATTTCAGAAAATAATAGCAGGTTTTTTAAGTTTATGAGAAGCAAGAAGCCACCTGCTAAACAACCAGTAGGGCCACTGGATGATTGAGATGCTAAAGGAGCACTCAACAACAATAAGACCATTGTGGAAAAAATAAATGAATTCTTTGCAGTAGATGTAAGGAAGATTGCCAAACCTGAGCCAGTTTTTTAGATGACAAATATGAGGAACTGTCTCAGGTTGAATTGTCATCAGAGGTTGTTTTGGAAATTGCAGAACTACTATCTGTTGTTTGTAACTTACCCTTTAAATCATCTTCTGTACCAAATGACTGGAAGATAGCTAATGTGATGCCAGTCTTTAAAAAGGGCTCTAGAGGTGAGCTTGGCAATTACGGGCCAGTAAGTGTAATGTCAGTACTGGGCAAATTCATTGAAACTATAGTAAAGAGCAGAATTATCAGACACATAAATAAACATAATTTGTTGGTGGGCAAAAGTCAACATGGTTTTTGTAAAAGGAAATCATGCCTCACCAATCTATTAGAATTCTTTCAGGGGATCAACAAGCAAGAGGACAAGGTAGATCCAGTGGATATAGTGTACTTAGATTTCCAGACAACCTTTGACAAGGTCCCTCACCAAAGGCTCTTAAGCAAAGTAAGCTGTCCTGAGATAAAAATCCATGAGTCCTCTTATGGATTGATAACTGATTAAAAGAAAGGAAACAAAGGTTAAGAATAAATGGTCAGTTTTCAGAATGGAGTGAGGTAACTAGTGGTGTCGCCCAGGGGTCTGTACTGGGACCAGTCCTATTCCATATATTCACAAATGATCTGGAAAAAGGTGGCAAAATTAGCTGCTGATACTAAACTGCTCAAGCTAGTTAAGTTCAAAGTAGACTGTGAAGAGCATACAAAGGATCTGACAAAACTAGGTGACTGGGTAGCAAAATGGCAGATTAATTTTAATGTTGATTAATGCAAAGTAATGCATATAGGAAAACATAATCCCAACTACACGTATAAAATGATGGGGACTAAATTAGTTATTACCACTTAAGAGATATTGGATAGGTCTCTAAAAATATCCATTCAATGTGCAGCATCAGTGAAAAAAGCAAACAATGTTAGGGATGATTAAAAAGGGATTAAGACTTAAACAGAGAATAATTAATTGCATATCTATACATTCATGGAACATTCACATCTTCACTATTGTGTACAGATGTGGTTGCCTCATCTCAAAAAAGATATCTGGGTATTGAAAGAAGTTCAGAAAAAGGCAACAAAATGTCTACAAGTATAAAACAGGAGAGATTAATAAGACTGAGACTTTTCAGTTTGGATATGATAAGAAGGATTATGATAGAGGTTTATAAAATCATGACTGGTGTGTAAAAGTGAATAAAGAAGAGTTATTTGCTCCTTCCCATAATACAAGAACTAGGGGTCACCAAATGAAATAGGTAGAAAATTTAAAACAAACAAAAGGAAATACTACTTTACACAATGTACAGTTAACTTGTGGAACTCATTGCTGGAGTATGTTGTGAAGTCCAAGACTATAACAGGGTTAAAAAATGAGCTAGATAAATTCATGGAGGATATGTCATTAGCCAGAATTGATAGGAATGGTGTCCCTAGCCACTTTTTGCCAGAAGCTGGGAGAGAGGGATCATTTGATGATTATTCCTTCTGAGACAAGTGGCATTGGCTACTATTGGAGGACAGGATACTGGGCTAGGTGGACCTAGAATGGTGGTGGATATGTAATTACCCAATTTTCTTAGTGTAACTAAAAAAAAACCTGAGAGAGAAATTCACATTCTTCTTGGATATTAGGGACAATGGACGCTTATTGATGGAAACAATAAGCAAGCTTCATTTTGAGGAGGGAAATGCATTATTTTCCTTAGGTTTGGATGAGTGACAAAAGCAAAAAGGAAAAATCTAAAGTGGAATTGTTAATGAGAACAGAGTGGAAGGGTCAGTTCCTTTCTGGCTAAACCCAAATGCATTTTAAAAGAAAAAACAAACAAACCACAAAAACCACTCAGTTTAGTCCACAAACTCTGCTGAACAAGATTAGAAGCAGAATCTACAAGAGGAGTGAAACTCGTACAGAAACAAAGGGGTGTGTGTGAAAGCTTAGCATAATTGTTTATAGCATGCAACAGCAGCACATGATTGGGTTAAGGGAAGCCTTGTTAAGTGTAAGAAAGATTTACTGTACTATGTACAGTGAATCAGTGTGAAGACATAATGGTTGAGATTTGTCAAAGCTATGTAGATGATTTTTGACATACCACTTTCATTAGATATATTCCCTATTCAAACGTTATTAGTATACCCCAGATTCTTAAATTGCTTATGTAACACAATGACTCTACTTGCCAAAGTAAAGATAAAAAACCTTTTTGTTGACATGGCAACTCTGGACAGCAAGATGATCTGAATCCCATCTCTTCTTGACTTTTTGTTGCTCGGAGAAGAATCAACGATAGAAACAAATTGACATTTTAAAATCTTCTTTGAATATTTTTAAACAATTATGCCATATGCTTTTCATTCAACCTGCCACTTGTGCTTTTCATATTCTTAAAAAAAACTTCTCTTGGAGTTTCTGCATTTTGTTGACTTGATTGCTTTCATGGAGTGAAAACTGAGGTCTAGAAAAGACAGGAATGAATTGCAAGCACTTTTCATGAAATGGAAGCATAACAATAATGTATATTAGGCTGAGAAGGGAGGGGAGGGAGATAGAAATATAACTTGGAGGAATGTAGGTGGCTCTGCAGTACACTGCATTGAGGGGATTGAGCATCCCTTGCATACATCTTTTGACCTTCACTCTTGGAAGATGTGTTCAACTATAATTAATGTTCTAATTTCATTTCAGAAAATAAGGCTGTTGGAGTGATGAAGCCTGGTCATGTCTTTACAATTGAACCAATGATTTGTGAAGGTAAGTGGTGAGGTGTGAAGAAGGGGACTTAAGTAAAGAGTGAGGAAGTGGAATTTGTTGGGGGTGTCATTTCTTGGTATGGAGCTTCCTCTAAACGGGAAGTGTCAAACAGATGGCCCAGGGGCCATATTCATCCCCGAAAGCTTTTTTTTCCATCCTGCAAATACCTTTGCAATTTACAGAGGGTTTCTACCTACAGTTGCCTGGCTGTGCCAGTTCTAAGGGGCTGGGATGAAGCCAGTTTAGAGCTTCAGTTGGTGGAGTTTCTGAGGGAGCCAGTGCCAGATTGGATGCGGGATTCTGCCCCTGCCCCTTCTTCTCCCCTTTGCTTGCAATGATGCTTCATGCAGCCAGTGGGGATGCTATAACCCCCTACATACCAGGGTTCTGAAGAGGCATCTTTCCAGTTCTTTGTCCCTCCTTGCCAAGCCTTATTTCTCTACTAGACCCTCCAAGAGCTGGGCTCCTTCTCTTTTTTTTTTCCTCACTCCTTCCCTGGTCCCTGCTGACACTGAGCCCAGCAGCGCTCAAACCTTTATTCCCTGTACTGCACTGTTGCTGAGTCCCACAGGAGCAGGTTCTGGGAAGTAGGTTCTTTTTCATTCCCCCAATTCCAGGGAACAGGATGTGGGCAGAACTGGAAGGGAGGAGAGACTCCTCACTGGGAGAAAGAGTGAGACACATGGGCAATAGATAGTCTCCAAAGGTAAAGCAGGTGTGCATATACATGCTGGTGAGGAAAATTGAGGTCATGGGTAAGGAGAAATCATAAGAGGGTAGAGGGTATGACCTGTATTGAGGGGATGCAGAGCTGAATTAATGAGCAGAGGAAAAGAGGTTTCCTCGTGCACTTTTTTTTTTTAAGACTATTTGTCTTTAAATGTGATACTGAACTTGGCAAGCTAAAGAGAAATACTGTGGTCTGATGTGGAAGGCAAAATTTTGCCTCTTGCCAGTTAACTTTATACTCTCAGCTTAGTGACACTCTGCCATGGTAAGTCTGCTGCTATTGCAGAATGAAGTTAACAACTTTAATAAGCTCTAAAAGACTGTAATGACTGAAGAAAACTGAGTTTGAAGTTCTGTCTTCATTTGTTGTCTGTCTTATGTTTCATTGTGTATTATTAAGCAGGCATGGTGTAGCAGTGATAGAAGCTAAGTGGAAAAAGTATGCCAAAAATTGGAAATTTTAAGAGGCCTTTGACAAATTAATTCTGATTCAAGTGTAATACACATTCATAATTCACTGTTTCTATACTACTTAGAAGAGACACCTTTAAGAACTACCGTTGTCCATACTTTGCGTGATTTTGAAAACAAAAGTCAAAAAGTAACACTCAGTGAATTTTAATATTTAAATTATTTTGCTAGGTGGGTGGCAAGATGAAACCTGGCCTGATGGCTGGACTGCAGTGACAAGAGATGGAAAGCGGTCTGCACAGTTTGAGCACACGCTTCTGGTCACAGATACTGGTTGTGAAATCTTAACCCGGCGATTGGACAGTATTCGTCCTCACTTCATGTCCCAGTGTTAGTTTAGACTGAACTGATGGATATGAGTATCTTTTGTCTCTGTACTATGCATTTTATTAAGAGTACAGAACAGAGGGGGATTTTATCATTTGTTTTGTTCTCATTGACTGTAGTTAAGAGAGGAATACAGCATTTGGTACATATTTTGAAGAACCTGACCCAGCATCTGAAAAAGAAGTATTTAAAATATTTTCTGCTTCCATCCTGTCCACAACACACTGTATTTTCTTTATTTTTGTTTTCTTTCATTTCCCCCCCCCTTGCTTTCAACCCGACCTACAGTTTTTTCTGCACATGCATGGTATTATCTAGAAAGTGTAGGTTACTTTCCCACTGAGGACTTGATGTGTTGTGCATCAAGTCTTTTCTCACTTCTTCAATGTGCCTGACCTTTCTCTATGTATAGTGGCACCTGCAATTTTAATTGTTGCCATTTCTGCAAATGGGCTTTGTTTATAACCAGACAGAGGAGGGGGATAACTACTTAGAAAGAGGCACTTGTTGCCAAGACTTGTCTTCCTTAGTTCTGTCCCAGATCTTTGTCAATTGCCACTGCTGTAATTGAGACCATAGACATCTTTCTTGCTGGAAATTGTTAATGCTGCTTCTCTGCTTATAAAATCACTTGAAAATTGCTTCCTGCAAAGAGCTGCCTTTCTGAAGAGCAGAATTTTCGGTGGTCAGAATTTTCGGTGCACCAAAAGTTCACCGTGAAACTGCTACTTCATACCTGAACATGAAAAGGAATAAGCTGGGTCACCAAGACAAAATTATTTACACGCTACTGTGCATGTTATTGAGGGGCCTCTCCCCTAGAGATATGAGGGGATGGGGACTGCAAAGTGCAGACATTACAGCAAGAGGAGATTCAGAACTATTTCAAAATAATGCTCATATCTGAGTGAAGAGGAAATGTCTGAGCTACTGCTGCTGTATTAGTTTTCTTGGAATTTTAAGAAAGTTTTATGTGAATTTCAAGCTCTTGAGAAGTGTCAGGCTGACAGCCCTGGAAACTGAAGTGCTGGCCTCAGACCAGATACAGTGTGGGCAGCAGTAGAACAATTTTCCCCATGCATCTTGACTAGGGTGCCACCATCCTGCTCTGAAAGGAGTATGGGAGCTGGTTAGCCTCTCCCCCTGCCCTACCCTTGAGTCTTTAGTGTTTCTGCCGAGATTTTTTTCTTTTCTGAATCAGTAATGAAAATGGTTTCACCCACAGTTGCAGTTCCAATGTCTATTTTCCTTGAAACACTATAATGCCAGAAAAACTTAAACCAATGAAGACAAATCAAATCATAAAATCATGGGCATAAAGTGCACATTTTACTTGGTGTCTGACTTCTTGTCACACAGCGGGCCTGGTCTTTGAAGGCACTGAGTGTTCTCACCTGTTGTTGGCACCAATTAAACTTGAGAGCAATTAATGCATCACAGAACTGGACCCATTGTGGACACAATGAAATGTGAAACTTGCCAGAAAATGTCTTCTCTTCCCACAGTGCCTCAGACCTTTATTGCTGTAAGAGTATCATTGTGATAACATTTTCATTACCTTTATTATTTTTAATGATACAGTAAAAAATGACCTAAAATGGTTCACACGTGTGCGCACGTGTGTAAGTGTAGATTTTAACAAAACAGACTGCAATATTTGAGTGGAATTACCTGTGTTGAGTGCCATGTATGTAATGTACTAAGGAGATTAAAAGTTGGGATGACTATCATGGAAATTTGCCCACCATGCCACCTGAGTGGGTACAATTGTCTTGACTTTTTTGTGTGCGCATATGTGACAGGAAGTCTTCACTTTGGCATATAAAAATTGCAGCTTCTTTTAATGGAAACTATTTTTATAGTATAAAATTATAACACAGTATTTCTGAGCCCTGGGGACATACAAGAGTATTTGAACCTGTAAAAATCCTTATCAGATTCATCGTAGGTTAATTCCATTAATTTAACAATGCGCTAAACTCCCTCAGGCATGGTTTAATATACATTTGTTAAGTATTTGCAGTAGGATAACTAAATGGACAATTCTCAAATGGGATTTTGGTTCTCAATTAATAATTTATATTTAGGATCTTAACTTTAATACACCAGATAGCAAATCAGTCTAAAAAGCAGAACAGTTTGGCTTCTCTCTCCTCCTATCTGTATTTTTTTCCAGTGTCTAGATTTAAAAAGTGTCCAGCTGTAGTTTTGCTTACACATGCATACTAGATTTCTGGTTCTTCCAAATTTTTGGAAATAGATGGAAACTTTGATAAGATTTAAACTGTTTACAAAGAGTCTTGAATTTCTGAGCGTTTCTCTTTACTTGAAGGATGCTGCCAAAAGCACAACTGTGGAGTTGCTCTGAAGCTACCTTTTAGGTACCTACTTCGTTCCTCAGCCCATACATGGGGTTAGGGAAGCTGCTTCCATTTCCTTGTAGCATGTAGTAGTTTTGGCTATGCATGGATATTTTCCAAGGAGACAAGCAGTTACAATTTATGCTGAAGATCAATGCACAGCATGAAACTAAACAAATTCTTGAACTACGTGAAGGGGAAGGGGTGGAATAAAGAAATGCAGAGTGAATTCTCCAACCTTTACGTGACTGTCATTGCATGGGCTTGGCTGACAGGCTCGTATTGCTCCTACGTGGAATCAGATTTGTCTGAAAGTCCTCAAAATGGGTAAATATTTCACATGCTACAATTCATAACAGTGTGAGTGACATCAGCACAATTTTTATTAAGAGGAAAAACTTTTGCTTTATCCCTTCTTATTCTTTAGCAGATGCTACATCACAAAAATTGCCGTTTAACTGAATGGTCAACTGGTCAAAATATTAAGTGGCTAAGAGGGCTTTTAGGCCTGTTGGTTTGGGGTGGGATCCTTATAATTATTTTCCAGTTATTACAAAAACTGGCTTTTTACTAATTGAGCCAGATACTTAAGATATAATTAATATTTAATTACTTTCTCATTTTTGGAACAAGAGTGAATGGAGTCTCTGTGTCACACTACTTGCTCACATCATGTAGTAGTGCAGGCAGCGCACCCTAGAAGTTATGGATGCTATGACTTAACCAGAATTGATATGTCTGAAGTTGCATGTTAAGAAACCCTGTTCAGGGTGATCTCATTGGGATTCTTCACTCCCTACTTTAACTTTTTCTTAGACTTAACTGGTCTTGCATCCACTTAATTGGAATACCTACAATCTAAGGTGGTAAATGAATCAAATTGTTTCTTCCTAAACACTTCGTCAGCATGAAACCATGTCTGAACAATGGACTAAACATGAATCTGTAGATAGGAGTATGGCATGATCGTGTAGGATTTCCATTATACTGATCTGCAAGCAGGCCTCCAGCATACTTTATTTACTACTGCTAGCTCATTAACAGTGACACTGTAGCACAGGAGTGGAAGGCAAAGTATAATTTTAGCCAAATGGGAAAGGAAGCAGGACGAAGCAACCAGCATCTTGTGAAGTTACCAAGGGATGTTCATGGTACTTAATTTGGCCCTTGATATTGGTCACATTTACTACAGGAGTGGTTCCTAACCTTTTTTACACTAACATTTTATCTGCATTATGAATATGCACATAAAATGTGATCAGTCCATCAAAAACCCCAGCCCCTGTAGCCACCCCACTACTATTGCTACCCCCAGAGGGTCCCAGTGTCTGCCCTAATGTGCTTATGCAACCCTCCTGCTGCACAGCCAACTGCTCTTCTGCACCGGGGAGACCATGCCCCCCAGTGCTGGTTGGTTGTGAGGTGCGGCAGGACATACCTCTTCCAACAGCTGTGGCAGGAGAGGAGATGCTGGGTGTACCCTAGCCCCAGTTCCCACAGCCCAGCAGCCATTGGTTGGGAATGGCTGTACTACATAGGCCAGCCATTTTTTGGCCAAGAGGAACAAAGTGAATCTCTCATCACTTCACACTGTGCTCAGTTTTCCTTCAGCACTACTGTGTCAGAGTGAACTTTCCTCACACTGCTTACAATAGTAGACAAATCACAACCCACACGGCAGTGGTTTCTGGCTTCATACTGCAACATCATCACAGCAACCTCTGATTAGTTCTAATGTTTTTGGGGGAGGGGAAATTAGTCCCTGCTACTGTAAACAGCCCTAAGGGGTAACATGTTGGCTGAGTATTGGGCCTTGAGATAAATCATTCTCTCCTGTGCCCCATAACTTCCGCAAGTTGGCCAGGAGTTTGCTCTGAGGTCTTTTCCTTAAACTTAACCAGGAAAGAAAGTTTATACGAAGGATTATGTCAATTGCAGCCTGTAGTGCAGCATTTCACTGGCATCTCCATCTTCAGCAACACAGCTTACCTTAAGAATCCTGCCCCCCCCCCCCCCAATAAAAAAATCCTGTTCCTCCCCAAAATAACAAAAACCCCACCCACACGAAAATTAATAAAATGATGTAAAATATTGCCTTCAGCCAGAGGATTCTCAGCAATGTGAGAGATTCACTGCAATACTCAGCTTTTACTGCAGGAAGATCCCTCAGCATGAAACTTTGTAAGCTGCTGCAGAAGCAGGTGTATTTTCTCTCCTAAATCATTTTGCACGGGGAGGGAGTTCTGTACACATGTGAAGCCCACATACCTTTAGGTAGTAAGTACTCCATCTAATAACTACAGAACTAGAAAAAAAATCCATGGCAAAAGGAATGAAAGGGTCCAGGTGATGTTTACAAAAAGTTAACCAGCTTTAAAGATTTAGGCACTGTCAAAATTCAAAAAAAGGAAACATGAATTTCATGACTACAACCAGCATTAGTTACCATATGTGGATTCAGTATTTACCATTAGTCTGAGATCAGGTTACCATATTTTATTAGAGACTATGATCCTAAAGCAGATGGTTTTCCCATCACACAATTTTTTTCTCCAGCTGATCCTACACTTCTTCAAAAAGCTCCATTATCCAGCAGGCATGGCACAACACGAAGACTGGCTGGATCCATCTTTGGGATCCTTAAAATTTCAGGACACTTCGAATGCTTCAACAAAAGAAAAAAATAGGAATCAATAAGAAGACTGTTTCACCACTGCCCCTAAAATGTTGTTAAACCCTACATCTCTTCTAAGATGCTCCCTGCTCCCTGTCAAATGAGTGTTTCTTCTTTTTTTTTAATGCTGAATTAGCTGCTAAGTTGAACTGGTCACTCACATTGGTTAAGGTCTTAAATTCTCTATTCTCTTAAAACCCTCTCTTCAAAGATGTGTGTTCTTCCATGCTCAGTTTGAGGCTATTTGTATTAGCTGGGCCAAAGGGACGGCTTTAAATGCATTTTCTTCTTCTCCCACCTGAATTTAAAAACTGCTCTCTCTATTATAATCAGAAAGTGCTCTCACAGGGGAGCACGAAAGTGCACTAAATAGTTGGAATTATTCCATTTATAAGAATCATTTCCTACAAGCTAATTCATAAATAGAATTGGTGCAGGCAATGCAGTGTCTGCAGAAAATATAAAGCCTCATAATTACTAGAAAAAAAAGACAACGGCATGTTTGTCTGATTTCATGTCCACTAAGCGATTCCCTCTTCTCTATTTACTCATGCTATTAATAGATAGGTGACCTGGACCATTTATTAATCCTGTTTCTGTTTCTACAGGGAAAGATAGCTATTTCATACAGATGGTCTAGAAACTCAATTAGGAGTTGGGAATTAATGCTCTCACTTACTACCCTGAACAAAAATGAATTCCCAGTAGTCTGGCCTACAGCTTACAGGCATAGACCTCACCACCCTTGGAGAACAAACCTTAATGTTACTGCTAAGACTGACACTGGGTGTTGCCTTTTCCTCTGAGTTTAATCTTAAGCTCACAAGCTGTGTAGTCTGCCATTGTGTCTCCATACAGGCTCTCTTCTTCACATGTGTGGAGAAATTGTATACAAAAATACATAAGTGGATCCAGCTTTTGCTTTACATGGAGAGATCCTCCCTTTCACAAAAGCTGAGAGGGTTATACTATATGATATGACTGGAACAGATCCTGGACTGTGTGCATTATGTGTTGATGATATGTCACTTGTTATTCACCAGGTGGCAGAGTTGCTCGTGCTTTGATTCACAATCTGTAAATAACATGCATGTTTTTTCTTCCAGGTTTGTACCAAGCTCAATGAGAGCCTCAGTTAGCCTTTCTTGAGGAAAAGTGTTGAATTTACTTACTGTTATAGCCGAGGCTTTGCTCTGGAAACAGAAGCACATTTACCTGAGCAGAGCAAAAACTCTGGGCAAGATAACATGGGCAGAAGTCACACAGCCAGTGACTAAAGTTTTCTTTAGTTCTGCCTGAAGTCTTATGTTAGAGAGGGGGAAAACATTCATTGGTTTGCAAGATAAGAACAGAATGAATACAACAACTTGTTAATAAATGTAAACTTCACATTAACAGTTCACTATCATATAACTGTCAATATTGAATCTAGCATAGCTATCAGCCAGTTATTTAAACTACTCTGTTTGAGGAACATTGCATTTAATGAAGTTAAATACTGTAGAAACTGTATATGTAGGGCACCGAGCTTGTTCGTAGCTGTGAACACAATATTATGCTCTGTCAAAAGTTTACAAGCAAACATTGACTTAATACAGCTTTGAAATTTTACTAAGCAGGAGAAAAATGCTGTTTCCCTTTACTTTTGCAGTAGTTTAACACTGTATTGTACGTGGGGTTTTTTTGTCTGCTGCTGTCTGATTGTGTACTTCTAGTTCCAAATAAGGCTTGTGGTTGACTGCTGAATTCATAACTCTGAGGTATGACTGTAATAACTGTTCTAAAATAATGCTAATTGTTCTGAATTAAGTTTAATGGAGATTTTAATATCAAGTACTTTCTTTTGTTATTTCCTTTTCAGTCTCTACTTTTATTCTGGTGCTAGAAGTTAGCACTCCATTTATTTATTTTTGTCCTTTATGGCTTGAGTTTTCCTTCTCTAGTTTGTTTTCCTCCTCTGCTCAGACACCAACCATTATAATTTTCCTTGCCTTTCACCTGCCCCCACCCAAGATAGCGGCTTATACTAGAGCACTCACCTAAGAGCAGTGTGAGCAACTAGTTGCTTTA